CTAGCCTTCAAGACACTTTGTAGCCTGTGATGGCCATGAATTCACAGTGATCCTGCTGACTAAGCCTCCAGAGAGCTGACATTACAGGCATGTGCCAATATGCCTCGCATGGGCTGGATAAACTGAAGATCTCTTGAACACTGGAAAATATCCAAGCATGTGCAATAAAATGGTCTCATGATGAAGGCATTGAGCATACACTTGTCTCCTCTCTTTCTTAATCTTATCCTCATGATAATAAGGGGTTCAGGTGAAAGAGTGTCCCAAATTCTAATGAGCCAGTAGTCTTAGGTGACCAAAACCCATGTGTCACCAAGGGAATGGGACTCAACGTCCTCACTTTGTGGGGAAACAGAGCCTGGGGCAGACCTCATGCTACTGAGCACATTAACAGTACACTAAGGATTCCCGGTAGGGGTTTGCTGCTCTTCCCATTTTCCTCAGCTCACTTACATGATTCCAGAAACTTCTCACCATAGATGTCCTTAACCTCTGAGCTGACCCGGTTCCACACCTCCTGTAAGCATAGTATGATCTTTTCAGTATTGGTCATATTGGTCTTGAAGAAACCAGGCTCAATAATAGCCACCTTCACCCCAAAATAAGAGAGCTCCCTCCTGCAAGACATGTAGCAGCAGCAAAGGACTTCAGCAGTTTTAGTAGGCAAAACACAATTAGATAAAACAACAACACCTTAATGTAAGATTGGGAGGAGAAAATTTTGAAAGCTTAGGATCTGAAATGTGCAAGAGTTTGGTTTTAAAATGAAGGTGATGAAATTGTCTCTGCATGTTTCCACATGGTTCCAAGCACTTTGTATACACCAGCCTAGTGATATACATCCTATAGGTTTGGGGAAGGAGTTCATTAAAGGTATCTTCTACCAGGTATGGGGCAGACCCTGGGACCCAACATTTGGGAGGCTCATGAGAAGAATCACAGCATGCAGGCTAGCCTGATGTCCATGGAGAGACCCCATCCCAAAATAAACAAACAAACAAATAAATCCACTATATCTACCCCCTTTTTCCTCATATCCAGTGTATCTCTAGGCTTTGTCCATGTCACCTCATGTACAATCAAGCCCATGCTTCTCCTCTCCAGCCCAGGAACTCCCTCGTCTGCTGTGCCTTCTAGGAAATATGCCTCAACCCAAATGCAGACTGAGCAACACACAGTTTGAGAAACCTCTGCCTGTAGCCAGCAGGGTTCCTGACACTGATTGGTCCAATGGGCTCTCGTAGTTGAGTCCTTCCCAGGGGACATACTGCCAACAGTGTGAAGTCCACACCTGTCCACAGCCACAGGCCCTTCACAAACCTACCTGTGCCACCCTCCCAGCACACCTCCACAAACCTTGCAGGTATCACTGTCACCATGACTGACCTGGGCACAACCACTCTAAGAGAAGGCACTGATGATTCTGGGTCTCTTCTCTCTCACACATATGTGCCAGAGGTCTTAGTTCAAGAATACAACACTAATTTTGCACTAGAAGACATTTATTATGCACTCAAATGAAAGCCCAATAAGATCTGTTGAGTTGAGTAAGAAACTTGAGGCAAGCTGGATCAGACAGGTCATGTGTCTGGCCCGGGGCCCAAGACAACCCTTCTCCAAATGCACCTGAGAGGCATTCCATCTGTGAACGCCCCTCCAGAGCATGAGAAGTTTAACTAAACTCAGGCCTTTGCTCTACACAACACATGGAATGTTGACTCCCAACAAATGAGCCATTCAATCCAGAAAGGGGGCATGAGAGAGTCCAAAACCCAGAGGGATGGATCTCCAACATGGGTCTCCAATGTGGGGCATAAATGAAACCCTGAAACAGGCTACTCCAAAACAATAGGAAGAGGATCATAACGGAACCTCATCCCCGTCCAGTACCTGAGGCTGTCCGAGAAGGCCTCCACGCCATACTTGGAGATGCAGTAGCCACCACCATAAAATGACAACCGGCCCATGATACTGGAGACATTGACCACACGGCCTTGGGCCTTCCTTACTAAGGACATCAGGCTCAGCGTCACCTCGATGACCCCCAACAGGTTCACGTTGAGCATGTTCATGAAGTCCTGCTTGTTCAGCCATTCATTGGGAGCAGAGGGAAAGGAGATGCCAGCATTATTCACCAGGCCCCAGAGTCCTAGGAGGAGAGGGAAGATGAGAGAACCCCACTGAGTGTGTCTGTGGTCACAGTTATAGCTCAAACTCACCTTGCAGCAATGGAAACAATTCTCTGCTGGGAAGGAAGGAGGGCAGAACACAAACAACCCAGTATCTGCAAGACTCCGGCTACATATCTGAAAGCAGCTGGTTGACAGAGTTGATGCCTTCTTCTATCTGTAATTCTTCATGACCCAGATGACTGCCTGGGAGATAGCAGACTATCAGCTCATATTTGATCATTACCAGAACAGATGTTGAAGAAATGCTGTGCATCCATTTGTCAGGAAACACAGAAACGATGATTGGCTTTTTAACAATTTAGTGTAAGCCTGTACGCACTTTATTTTTTCACGTTTTTTAAAGCAGACTATTCACATTTCTCCCACACAGTTACTAAGGGTAAAGGAAGACAGAAGAGGAGAAATAGGAAGGGAGGAACAAAGTAGAGGCAAGATGGAAGGAAAGACAAGACTAACATGTGAGTAGAATTTGATTGAAAAAAAGAGCTGAGGTCCTCTTGGGGGAAAGTTCCAAAGATTGCTGTCTTTGTTGTGAGGTAACTGACCTTGAAAACATGGTCACTAGTATTGAGCCACCTTCCTGACAGTGAGCTTGCAAAACCCAAAGGAAGGCTTAGTATGGCACATGGCTCCGTCCTTCCCCCCAGTCCAGCACACTGTGTCACAGAGAACTGTGGGTCTGATCCAACTCTAAAGGTCACCCGCCTTCATCCAGCATGGTCCCCACATCACTGATCTGCAGGTGGCCCCTCTGGATAACCTCACACCCACCTGTAGGAATAAACAGTATTTGCCACCCGGGAGCACAGGGCAGCACTGGCGAGTGAACATTGGATCCAGGGAAAAGGGTGCGGCGCGTCAATCTGCAAGAGATGGCTGGGAGTTCTGTGCCTTCTCTGCTCAGGAACTCACCCTGCCTCAAGGAAAAATAAACTCTGCATCTAAAACACTTTATCTCTAAGAACCCCACAATGCATATTTATACACATTTCAGTAAAGGAATGCCCACCAAGATGACATAAGTGATAATAAAATATCAGAAACAACTTCCACAACAAACCATTCTGCATCTTTGCACAAGGAGGGCTGCATGGATCCACACAACAGTCTTCATGTGGTAGTAAAACTGCAGCTCTTCATTCTTTTAAGTAAAAAGATGAGAAGTGTGCACAAAATATCATCCACATAGCTCAATGAGTTCATAATATTTCTGGCTGGGAGGTGAGAAAATTGGCTAATGTTATGTTCTTATCCATTCCTGTATTTTTGATAACTGCCATAGTTGACATTTATTCCTGGATGAAATCAAACAATGCTCCTTTCTTCCCCCAGAAGAACACTGACAAAATAGTACAAAGAGAGGGAAAGCAAAGGTAAGCCTAGTGTTGGCCTGTCTGAAGCCAGTTCCTCTTCTCCTAGCTGTGCTGAAAATGGGAAGATCTAAGCTCTCCAGGCGGAGAATGCTGGGGACCCTGTAAGAACAAGTTGCAGTGCTGAGACATGAGCTCAGCTCCAGCATTTCCCCAGCCACCACACAGGGTGCCAGTCCAGCCTTCCTCCTGAAAGATACCCCTTCGCTAACCAGGCACTCAACATCCAGCAACCACAACTTCCGCTTAGAGAGGCAGGCAGACGACAGAGAGGAAATCTGGACACAGAGGTCAGATTCCTGCTGCAAGGTTCACAGGAGAGAGAAGGGCTTCAGGCTACCATGGTGAGGAGGGGAAGGAAGTTGGTCTGACCTCAAGCATCACCTCATCAAGATTCCTTTAAATCTCACCAGGGAGCATACAGAAGGTGCCACCTTCACACACACAGAAGAAGCCAAGAGACATAGACAGGAATCTGGGTGGTACCTCTGTTCCCCACGCGCTCCTTCACCCACTGGGCGGCTGCAGCAATGCTCTCTGTCTGGGTGACGTCCAGGACCACTGTCTGCAGCCGTGCTGATGTCTGCTTCTTCAGCTGCTCGGCCCCTTCTTCCCTATGACACCCAGCCAGCACCCTCATGCCTCGCATGTCCAGCTGTCTGGCCAGCAGGTTCCCGAAGCCCGAGTCACAGCCCGTGATGAAGACATATTTGTCTTGGAGGTGGCTCACCACTTGCCTCTCCCGGTACCAGCGCAGGAGGTAGAACAAGCCCACAAAGGCTGCCACATACAGCAGCATGACTTCACTGAGGCCAGGAAAAGGTACAGTGGTGAAAGACAAGACTCTGGGCTGTGTTCAGCCAGGAGGAGAAGAGGAACTGAGATCCCTGTCAGCAGTAGACAGTGGCAGCCTCCAGATGACACAGCATGGTATTTGCAATTACACATTTATCCTTGGCTTGTCGATCATTTTTTTTTTTTTTACAGTGCTCCACCTCTCTGCACTTTGAACCTCTTTTGGTTTTTATCAGCTTTGTTTCAAAATTAGATTTTATGTCTTTTATTTTGGGGCTCTTGTTTTGTTTTGTTTTCTCTTTTTTGAGGCAGGGTCTCACCATGTAGTTCAGGCTCATCTTGAACTCACTATGTAGCCCAGGCAGGCCATGAAGTCATGGCAATCCTCCAGCCTTAACCTCCTGAATGCTTGGATTATAGATCTGTGCCACCTTGCCTGGCCGATCCATTTTGTTTCATTGATATATTGATGCCCTTGAACATCTCCTCTCCTGCCTGCAAGAAAGACATGACTAGTCAGCAGCCTGTCACTAGTCCATCAATTCATCTCTGCCTTCCTGCACCACTACAGGAATTCACATAATACCTCAGCATGAGAACCCCTCTGATCAGGTTCCAGGGTCAGACTGTCTACTCAGGTCAGCACCTGGCATCATGGACCTCCTGAAGACAGGTAGGTGCTACTGGCAAACTACACTTGGAGAGAAGACACATTGACAATGAATTCCCTCTCTCAAGGTTCCCAGGTTTCCTCCTCAGCCCCACCACTCACAGCACTTCCTCAGGAAATTAAGACACTGTCATTCTCTCCAGTACTACCCAAAACCTCAGAGGAGAGGACACCAAGGTGCCCTCTTGATATAAGAGCTCCCTGGAAAGAGGGAGTTGTGACCCCAACAGGGAGTCTGAGTTCTGAAGCACAGAAGGAGGAAAGGAAGGGGTGGGGAGGGGGAGGAAATGTACGGATGAAACTCCAAGGACTGGTGGGAGGCTGGAATAGAATGACCTTTACAAAGTTCATGTAGCAGTCATAACTTTCACCTACTAAATGTGGCCTTTCCCCAACTGAATGGATGCGGATGGACATGACTACAGCCATTGGAATCATAACCATCATGGCTTCCCAAGGATAATCCTAGCTGCTTTCTCCTGTATAATTTATAGGTCAATCATAAGTAGATGAAACTCCTGGTGTGGTATGTGGTATTTACAGCCAGACTATGGCTCCAGCAATGTCTCTGACTCTTCAGGGCCAGCTCACCTTAAACAAAGTCCATTCCAGCTAAGATGAAGTGGATATTGTCCTAACCAATACATGTGACTCCCTTTCTGACCCATATTTGGTGGATCCAACTTGTCTTCTTGACCCATAGGATCACACCTCAGCTTGTGCATAAATTCCCTAGAAATACACTCTGTGCAAGCCTAGATCTACCTGCCTCTCCTTACTTCTATGGCACCTCTGGGGCCTGTTCTCACACAATGACTGAGTTGTTCCAGGTGCCCATAACATGACCTCCACCTTCTCTCTGGGGCCTTCCCTGGAACATTCAGAGTCCAGTTTTCTTAGGCACTTGGGGGATAAGAGCAGAAAGGACTCCACTGAGCAAGCACCACAGAGACAGCAGCGTTCCCTGAATCGTGGCTTGGGCCTGAGTGCCTGAACCACAACCATTGGAAAGGAGAGAGTTCAGCACATATCCAGTGTGGACACATGGGCAGAGCTTTCCCTGAGGAGAAAAAGATAAAGCTGGAGACTGGTTTCCACAGCCACAGCCTGTGGAGGGTCTCTCAGGTGAGACAGAGGATGCCACTTCACAAGAGCAAGATGGGATAGGATGCCAGGGGAGTTGAGATGAGTAGAGAAGCCAGGGTTTTACAGCTCTGGCCTGCTCCTCACTGTCTATATCTGCCAATTTCTGACTGGTAAATAAAACAATAAGAGACCAATATGCAAGGAGAAATTTCCTAGAGAAATCAGAGGCTCAGCTTTATGCATTACACACCACAGAAGAGGGACCACATCACTGTACCCATTCAGTTCTGCCTTAAGAGCAAAAGGTTAGGTATTAGGAAGAAGCTGGCTGGAGACTTGGAGAGTTTAGTCTCCTGGTAGTAACTCTCTCTGCTCTTGCCGTGCTCAGCTCTTGCTGCTGTTCTTGCTGGGACCCTAGGTTGTGTCTGCCAGAAGTCTCCATCTTGGGCTTATTAAATCTAGAAGGGAAGGAAGAGCATAGAAAATTCTCAGCAGGCAAGGGGAACCTGCAAATACCCAGGCATCTAAGGGAGGTCTCATAATTTTGAAGTCTGGAGTAGATTAAAGTAGTGTTCCTAGTGACGGCAGGTTTCTTCAATGGAAAATTCCCAAAGGCACCCCATGCACAGTGACATTTCCCAGTGCTTAGAAATGCTTCTCCACTGTCACTCATGCTGACAGTAACATGGCTTCTTGCTGGGGAATACTCTACAGGTTCTGCAGCAATACCCAAAATTACTCTGTGTGTTACTTTGTGTTTTATTTTTTGTGTTTTGTTTTGTTTTGTATTGTGATGTTTTGTTTAGTTTTGTTCCATTTAGTTTAGTTTAGTTTAGTTTTGTTTCATTGGAGACAGGATGCAGCTGTGTAGTACAGACTGGTCAAAAATTCACTGGGATCCTCGTGTCTCAGGCTCCCACGCATTGAAATTATAAGCATGGGACACCACACCAAAATCCTGAAAGTTTCATGGAACACTCAGGCAAGAGAAACCTGGGTGGGACTCCTTCACCTGGAGCCCAAGAGAGAAGGCAAATCTTCAGAGGCACCTGCTCCTGACACTCTCATCCTTCTCCCAACCCTGTCCTGATCTTCTTCACAAGGTATCCAACAATGACAAGTGCTTCCCTGTCTAACCCCTGGGAAAGGGGCTTAGCCAGCTACCAGTTCGGCACTGCTGAATAAGTGAATGTCCCCACATGGTTCAGGGCAGTGGTGGGCCAGGTCACCTGCTGGAGTCAGGAAAAGAGTTCAAACACATGGTGCCCATGCTCTCCAGCATCAGAGGGACACCACCCATTTTTCCCTCTCCAGGGGGATGAGGCTTCTGCAGCAGGAGTGACCCAGAAGAGCTGGAAAGGACAGGAGGTGGGAGTGCTTTGTGTATACCACTATCCAACCCCATGGACTGGAAACCCTGCTCAGTCTAGATGGGGAACCAGAAATGAAGGAACAGCCATCTAAAGAAGTGGCCAAATATCTATGAGTTGGAGACTTTCAGTTAGGACTCACTGAGCCAGTACCTCTGACAGAGGGCAGAACACCAAAGTGAAGGCATGAAGTCCTTCCTCTGGCATCTGGTGCACTCAAATGAGATGGCCTGTAGCCCCAGAGATCCTGGGTCTGTGCTCAGGGAAGAAGTCTGCAAGAAAGTAGAGGAAACGGAAAGAGGCCTCTCCTGACATTTGGGATAAGGATTTAAATTGCTCTACATGACACTTCCTTTTCTGCATCTGCTGGTTACTCATGAACAAGTTGACACTCTAGAGTCAGTTAGGGCTATGGATTCAGCCTGAGTGGATCCCACCCTCATGGACTACTGCATGGATCACAGGAATTTGGACCCTGACTGTTCTCTGACACTCTGGAAAGGACTCAGGGATTGAGGGTCCAAACCTAGTGAACACTTGCTCTACCAGCCTATAAAATGAGTCAGTGATCTTTAGTTTTACTTTGGCATGTTTTGTATCTGTGAGGATGCTTCCTGTGGTAGAGTAGAGTTATCTGTATGTGCACATGTGTCAAGGGTTATAAATTCAGGAAGCTTGACAATCTTAAGCTCATGCTCTGCTTTTCAGGGGATAATATGAAGTGACTTTGAATGAGCTGACATGAGCCATTCAGAGATTGACAGCTCCTCATGGAATATTTCTGGTCCTTTTTTCTTTCTTCTGCGTTGACAAGCCTGACTCAATACTCAGTATAAGTTGAAAATTGATGGTCCTCAAGACTTCACCTAGAATCCCATTAATATGTACTGTAGTATACATTTCAGCCGAGCATGTTTGGGGGAACTTGTAATTGAAGCTAATAAGGATACTGAAGCAAGTTCAAAGGTATCCGGGCCACTTGGTAAAACCCTCTCTCAAAAATAAAATACAGGCCCCTCTCCAACCCTTTGGAGATGAGCTGACACTCAGATATCTTCAGAAACACCGGTGAGCTGCCCCTGCCCCTCATCCATCAGTGTAGGATCCAAGCAGAGCCTCAGAGTGCTTCAGGAGCCTGGGGGGACACATTTCACCCCTCAGTCCCCATTGCAGCTTAGCTAAGTTTGGACAGCTTCAGGAAAGCTTGTAAGGCACCTCTGACCCTCCCCCATGAGTGTGGGAGCCATGCAGAGCCCCAGACAGCTTCAGAGGCCTGGGGACCCACTCCCTGCCCCCACTCTGCACCCTTAGGGGAGCTAAGCTGAACCTCAGACAGGTTCAGTGACTGCATGCTCACACCTCCCTTACTGGTGTGGGAACCGAGCTGGGTCCCAGGCAGTGTCTGGAGCCTTGGTGACTACAACCTGCCCACTACTACACCCTTGTGGAAACAGGGCTGAGACTGGGATAGCACTGGGAACTGCTGAGTGTGAGCCAAGCTGAGGCCCTGACATCTGTGGGAGCATCAAGAATCACACTCCTCCCACACACATCATCAAGGGAGCCACACTGAGCATCAGGGATCATTGGGTCCTTGCTCTGCCACTCTGATATCATCCTGGATTTGAGGCTGAGCTCCAGGGAAGATCTGGATCTTTGAAAATGACAAAGAAAAGGAGTAAAATGCAATCGCAGACCTCCACCCCACCCAGAACAATTCCTAGAGATAATGACACACAAGAGCTTAGAAGTCATAAACCTGAAATTTCTGAAATGATAGCTGCTGAAGTAAAGAAACAATTCCATCAGGCCATAGAAGACATCAGATCAGAAATAATCTCTGACATAAAAAGAGATATGACAACAACAATGAAAGAATTGTTTAGCACATCCAAAGAAGGCATTGATAAGAAATAGAGGGGCATAGAAAATTAATGGAAAGCTTGAATGAACAACATAGGAAAGAACTAGAATGCACAAAACAAATTCAAACACATAGCCAGGAAATTAAAAATTCCATTGAAAGCTGACAAAACCACTTGAACAAAGCTGAAAATAGACTG